ACAAAAACAAAAAAACAAGTTGGGAAGGAAAGGATTTGTTTGGCTTACACTTCTAGATCATACTCCATCATTAGAGGAAATCAGGACATGAACTCAAGCAGGGCTGGAACCTAGAAGCAGGAGCTGATGCAGAGGCCATGGAGGAGTGCTGCTTACTGGCTTGCTTCCCATAGCTTGGTCAGCCTGCTTTCTTACAGAACCCAGAACCACCAGCCTGGGGATGACACTGCCCACCATAGGCTGGGCCTTCCCACACTGATCGTTAATTGAGAAAATGCCTTACAGCTGAATCTCATGGAGGCGTTTTCTCAACTGAGGCTCCTTTCTGATGACTCTAACTTGTGTCAACTTGACACACAAACCCATCACTGTTAAGCTACAACCCTTCTTTTCTTATTTATCTCCAAGATCTCACATTAAAAACATAACTAACTTTAAAAGTCCCACAGTCTTTACAAATTCAAGCAAATTAATGTAGAGGTGGCCTTCGTTCATGTTATATTTAGGTGTGTCTGTATATTTACAGATTGTTAATTGCTGAACCAGCAGTGAGCTAAATGTTAACTGATTCTGGTATTGTCATTGCCATTGAAAAACTCCTGTCTCAATGTTGTGTAAAAATTACTTCCTAATTATCTTTGGTTAATAAAGGGGCTGAAAAGCCTATGACTGGGCAGACAGTAGGCAGGATTTCCATTCCAGTTTCCGACCTGTGGGTTCCAGGTAGAGAGAGGAAGAGGGAGCCATGAGGAGTCATAGGCCATGAGGAGTCACCATGAGGACAAAAATGAAGCTGGAGTGGCTGAGGCAAGACTAGATGGCAATAGCATGGAGCACGTGGCTGGGAAGTAGCCAAGCTAGCATAGACAGTTTAGAATAGATCTATATTCTAAGCACCCAGTGATGGTGCTTGAAGTTTATTAATAAATGTTAACAGCTCTCTTGTCTCATTAATTGGGAACTAGAGCAGATGTAGAAAAACACCTCAATTACAACACATTAAAATTCTAATTCCCTTAAAATATCTAATCTTGCCAGCTGCGGTGGCATATGCTTGTAATCTCAGCACTCAGGAGGCAGAGGCAGGAGAATCTCTGAGAGTTTGAGGCCAGCCTGGTCTACAAAGTGAGTTCAGGATAGCCAGTGCTATGCAGAGAAACCCTGTGTCAAAACGAAACAAAACAATCTGTCTAAAAATTTAAAATCTCTTTTAAAAGTTCAAGGTCTTTCAGGTGTAGACACCTGTAAAAATCAAAATCAATTAAATACCTTCCTCAAGAGGGAAGAAGCAGGGCACAATCACAAGCAAAACTAAACTCCCAACAGTATAAATAACTCAATGTCCAATGCCCTGGGGTGTACACATAATCTTCTGGGCTCCTCCGAAGGGCTTGGGTCATTTCTCCAGCTCTGCCCTCTGCTGCACACAGCTTGTTTTCTAGGCTCTGACTGGCTCCACGCCACTGCTGCTGTAGTTCTTGGCGGTTGTCCTACAGTACCGGCATCTTCAAAATTTCTGGGGCCCCTTGCTGCAACTGGATACACTTTCACCAATAGCCTGTTGGAGGCTCTCTTCCTGGTGCCAAGCCTCAACTTCTTTGCATGGCCTCTTCAGTCCTGGGCCTTCAGCTGCCACTGAGGCTGTACCTTTACCGGTAGCCCCTATTGATTTCTCACAGTGCCAAGTGTCAGCTCCATGGCCCCTTCATGCTTTCAAAACCAGTACCACCTGGATGACTGTTACACATTACCAAGTCTGGCTACAACCTTGGCCACCTCTGGAACACAGCTTCTGTGTGCACTCAGGAAACACTTCTCAGAAGATTTTATCTCAGTGATGCTGGTCTCGTCCTAATCACAGCTAATTTCTTAGCTCTAGCTAACCAGCATCAATTGTCCCAGTAACAAAAAGGTTTCAGTTTAGTAGTTCTGGTGTCTTGTTAATAACAGCTGATTCTTCAACCCCAGCTAACCAGAACCACAGAATCTTAAATCAAAGTAACAAACAACCCTGACAGAGTCTTTAATATTCCCTCTGAAATTTTACAAGCCAGGCCTCCATCTTCTACACTGCCCTCAACATTATCTTCCAAGCTTATCTACAGAACATTCCACTGAGGTCTCAAACCACTGGGTTCTTCCATCCCAAAATTCCAAAGTCCTTCCACAATTTTCCCCAAAACATGGTGAGGTCTGTCCCTGCAATATCCCACCACATTGGTACCAATCTGTCTTAGGGCTTCTGTTGCTTCAACAAAACACCATTACCAAAAAGCAAGTAGGGAAGGAAAGGGTTGTTTGGCTTACACCTCTGTATCAGAGTCCATCATTGGAGGAGGACAGGACAGAAACTCAAGCAATGCTGGAACCTGAAGGCAGAAGCTGATGCAGAGGCCATTGTGGGATGCTGCTTACTGGCTTGTTTCCCATGACTTACTTATCCTGCTTCCTTAGAGAACCTAGGACGACCAGCCCAGGGATAATTGGGGGCCATGCAAGAGAAACAACAGCTTTAGAACTCATGGAATTTGGCCCACTGTTAGCACAACCATGATGGTGTGTCTCAGAGACATGGAGCCCTAAGGACTATGTGTCCTGAGGACTTGATGCTGTTAATAGAGCATCATTCCGCTTGTTGCTCTTGTGGTCTCCACATCCTTCCTAA